TTTTTTTTTTTTTTAATTTCTGGGTAATTTTGCTTTCGCATTCCAACAATTTTAACTTGTAATTGTAAAAAATTAATTAATATTCAACGAATCCAAGTATGAGAATTCTATTAAAATCTTATGAATTCTATAGAAATTCATGAGAATTTATAAATATTAAGATATCAACTAAACATTGAGTTGATAACACCATGATAGATGAGTTAGTATACATAAATCAAGCCCACGTTTGGCTAGTGTTTATAAACTATTTAAGAACGATCAAATCACTTTTTGTCCATATATTTTGTAAAATTTATAAGTATTACACATTCATTTCGCTTTCATTTATATCTATTTATAAGTTAAACTGTTTAAAAACATTTCCCAAATAATTGATGAAGTGTTTATGTACCCTACAAAATATGAGAGAAGAGAGAGACATATATGAAGATTAAAAAGATAGGCATATAAATCATTCAATAGACATAACCCTCACCAATAAATCCTCATATTTTAATGTTGTTTGCTCGAATGGCACGAGTGTCTGAGGGTATCCACTGGACAACTCTAGCATCTCTTTAAACGTATATTAATTTTTAACGATTTTTTACGCCAACAACATTCTCTTTGGAGCATTCTTCAAAGTAACCGTTCGTTTGGAATCTGGGTAGTTTAGCTAACAAATACGGCCCTAAAAATTGGTAAAGGGTCTCTGTACCTATCTTCATACAGTTAAAAATTGGTAAAGGGTCTCTGTACCTATCTTCATACAGTTGTTTGCACCATAGATAAGCGATGATAGAAATGAAGGTTCAGAGGAAAAATGCATTAGGCCCCGTTTGCCTTGCGTTACGTTACAGCTTTGAATTTATTTTCAATTTTCTGTTTTGAGAATTTGTTTTAAAATTGCAGAAAATGTGTTTTGTTTGTCATTCTAAAAAATTGTTTCTCAAAACAGAAACTACAAAACATGTTTGGTTTAGAATTTTCAGACATTGTTTTTGATATTTTTTTAATTAATTTGATTATTCGTAAAATAGAACTATTTTATATTAATAAAATAACAAGTAATATACATTTTAAAAGTGGTGAATTTTACAAAAAAATATTTTCTGTGACAAAAATAAAATACAAACAAACAATAAACTGACTTGGAAAAAAAGGAAACAAAAAAATAAAAATTAATAAGGGGCAAGAATGATATCTTCAATCTCGATAAGGGACAAGAAATCTAGACATGTTTGGATAGTCGAAATCAATAAAATAAAATTGTTATGCAAAAGAACTATGGTATAAGACTGCAATGTTGTAAAAATATTTGACAAGTCCTTTGAAGTTATATACCTTCTCATGGTATTGGAAAGTTCTTCTGATGTTCTTGTAATTACGTCAATGAATACTCGTGAATCATTAATAATACTTCACATTCAGCATACATAAAAAAAATCACCTTCTAGCTGTCTTTCTTCCTCTGATGTTGGATAAAGTGAAAAGTATATTTTAAACGCTAATTTGTGCTTATAAATTTCAATTATATTTGTAAATTTGAGTAAATTTCTGTTTAATTTAGTGTAAATATTGTTATTGCATGTAAAATTTTTACTTTGAGGCATTTGGAGCAAAAGGGGCGATTTTTTAGCTTCATAGGAGTTGAATCGGGGCAATTGAAGACTAATCGAATTGTATGATAAAAATATTAAAGGAGCAATTGGTGGAAAGTCGTAAGTTTAAGTGAAATTCATCTTATCGATAGTTGCGGACGGGATTCCACATTTTTAGAAGTTAAGGAAGACCAATTTCGAAATACTCTTGAGGTTCGGGGATCAACGTCGAAGCATTTGAAAGTTTTGGGACCAATATTTAAGATTACGACGAAAAATGATCAAAATCGAACGAAACTCATGAAGCTAGGATCAAATTGGAATAAACTTGAAAATGAAAAGCGGTTTGCAAACAAAATTTATATATGGAGCGTTCCACAAGAGTCTAATCACAGTATTCTATAGTTTTCAATCGTCTACGTATCAAGAAATGAGGAATTGTTATTACTTTTATTATCCCTTTTTCTGTGTTTTTACTGAAAAAGTCAAAAATATATTTTGAGTTCTATTTAACAAATATATTTTTTTCAATGATACATTTTCAAAAATATCTAATCAAACATCCCCTCAACTTTTGATAGTGATTTAAGTTCAATGGGTGTCCACATTGTGCTGTTGACAAGAATAGAACAATATATAACATGATGATTACAATGATAAGTTGAATATAAAGAAATGAGGCCATTTTGCCTCTAATGGGTCCATTTCAATTTTGAACTTTATGTCAAATCATTTGGCTAATGTTAATGACATTGTATACAAATTACGCAATAATAGGCTTTTTGGACCCGTCATAAAATGTGCTAACCTCACGTTGTGTTGTGATGAAAAGACGTACGCTCGCACGGATTTTCACAATCAGGTAAATGATTATTTTGTATAATAATGAGGACAGATATAGAAGGAGAATGGCAATGATCGAAGAGAAGTTTTGACATTATGCATGGTAAAAGCGTTAGTCTTTTGCATTATTGGGAAACATGAACTGTTTCTGTACTTGACAGAAATTATAGAGCAGATTCAATCATGAACCATTCCCTCCATTTTGCAAAATCTTTGATCCTAATTTGATATTTTTTAGAAAAAAAGGATGATTTTGAGCTCGGAAAAGATTCCATAACATTCAACCAGAGACAGATAAACATATGCTTTTAAAGAAAAGCTAACAAATTACACATTGATAGAGAAAGATTGCTTGTTCATGCAAAATCGTTTTACGTACTCGTAAATTGAAAAATCATGCTATATGAACAGAAAGTTTAACATAATGGTTGACATAATGCCACATTGCATTCCATCATTGGATTGTTTTAAATACAATCGGCTTTCTCATCCAATCACCTCTCGCTACAACATCTTCTCTCACTGCAACTGACCAAATTCTCCTGGCAAAGTAGCATTATTCTGAATCGAAATGTTCAGGAGTCATTCCAAGAAGGAAAAACAGGCAAGTCAGACATGGCGAGTGGAACTGGCCTCAGCTGAGAAGTCGGGATCCAGGAATTGACATTGGTCGAGGAGTTGATGTAGTTAGTTGCCGAGGTAGGATGTGCAAAGAAAACAGTCCCTCCTGTTTTATCCGGAATTGTTTCCCTCGAGCCTATAACTAAAGACAATGGACTCGTAAAGTTTCGTGTATGGGGATTGGTTGATTCAATCCCAATCAGATCTTGCAGAGCTCCGGAGAAAGAGGAATTTTGATAATTTCCAGCATTGTACATCATTTTGTCCCCAAGCGATTCAACAGAAGCATTTTGCACCATTTTCCAGTTAGTAACATTTCCAACTCTCTCCACCGGATGGAATTCCTCGTTTTCAGGAGCTGCTGTTCTGTAAGGATCCGTCTCCTTGTTTTGCCGCGCCAACTCTCTAGCAGGAAGAGTATCACTAGAGTTGATTTTCTCCACATCGTATCTCGATATTTCAAAATTAGTGACTGCATTTACACCCCGGAACTTGATTGCAGCAATGTCATAAGCTTCTGCTGCTTCTTCCTGCGTGCCTGAAGTCGAACGTAAAAATTAACTCCCCTGAACATAATTACACTTATCAAGAATTTTTACTATGAAATAGCCTTAAAAAAGTTTTCTAATTGAAATCGGCCATGAACAGTCCAAGTAGCTTTTGAATCAGCCTTATAAAAGCATCACTATTGACTTAAAAAGTGATGCACGAGAACAAAAAGGGACTCAATATTGAGCCTTTCAATGCTTTCTCTGCCAGATTTACATTTTTGAATGGTTTAACAAGACATCAAGATGAAAAGAAGTTAAATTTTGTTTATTGTGAGTACTGTTATTTGAAGCATCGGGCAACTTACTGAAAGTTCCGAGATAGAGGTCCTTGTTCCCTGCAACCCGGCCAATCCTAGCTTGCCAACGTCCGTGCTGATGATGCCTTTAAGTATGGCAAAACGCAAGTTTAATTTGATTAAAAAGCCTGTTTAAATTCATACAAGACTATGTTCTGAACATTGAAGGAACTTCGAATGAACCTTGTCACTCCTCTATACATTGAAATACCCCTCGAAAATCCACTACTCCTCCTGAAAACGAGTACACAAAATCCAGTGAGTAAAAGTGTAAAAAGTCAGGGAACAAAGGCATCTAACAGAAAGTTTTAGACTAGTTCACCTTCTCAAATGTGCCACAAATTCCTGTCTGCTCATGTTTTCCATCTGTACAACTTCGTTCTCGTAGTTTTCCAACTGCAAAAGCAACAATAAATTGTGAGTTGTTCATCCTGGCTGCCAACTAGAGCATGACAATACAGTAGCCTGAAAAAGTCAAATCCGTGACATGCCTACCTAAACACACAAAGAAGATAACATAAACGAGAGGGAAAAATCACTTTGTACCGGAAAGTTGATATGTGTTGAAGGTCCCCAGTACTTAATTGCAGCAAGATCGTATGCTCTTGCTGCTTTTTCTTCCATATCATAACCTCCTGAAATGCGTTCATTATAGTTTAATCATTCACACAATTTTGTTCAATAACTAACTGCTAATCTAATAGCTTTGTTAAAACTATAATCTTACCAAGATAAACTGATTTTATATGATTTGATGGGAACAGCATATCCAGAGCACGACGAAAAAATTTACAGAGACAATGAAAATGAGACAAATATGGTCAGAGACTTGAACCATAAAAATCCAAAAGAATACTGAAGGGATTTTATTTCCTTTGTTACCTTGCCTTCCTTTCCTAGTCTGGCCCTCCTTCTTGCAACTATTATCCCATAAATGTGCTTCATACCTACCCGTCCATCGATGTCTGTAAATAAAAATTTGTAAAAATATTAATCAAACTCGGGAGGAACCCATATTCGTCTTTAACACAGTCCTTCATGTGCTGGTCAGCTTATTTTTTTCATCAAAAGTACGACACTTCACAATTTTCATCAACGAAAAGCCCCGAGACTTGGTCAGAAAGGACAGACATGGCGAGGACAACGAAAAAATTAAGGCAACTAGAAAAATAAGAAATTGAAAAAGAGAGAAAAAAAAACTCTAGATCAGCCAAGGAACACATCATTATCCTATAATAACATGGGACTATTCACATTAAAATAGATACAAAATAAACTGTTAAATTCATAAATTTATACTGACCTAGTTACACCTCTATATTGAGATGTTCTTTGACCAAAACTATCAATGGCTTTCCTATGAACTTTCGGTTTTAATGTCACTTTCTCATGTCCTCTTTTCCTGTTTTCCATTTCCAAACCTTCAGTCTCAGTTGGTGAAATTTGTCTTGAAGCAGTAACACAACTTGACTGAGAACCAGGACTCATTGACAAGCTCAATGACTCCATTGCACCACCACCACCACCACCACCAATCATTCTGGGATTCACCAGATGTTCAAGTGCATGGTGATCAACCCAGGTTTTCGAGCATGTCATTGCATCCTCAGACATTGGAGGAACTAGAGTGTTACAGTCCAGAAGTTGAGATTCTTTATGGGTTTGTTGTTCATCCGTTGTTTCATACATACCATGATACTGCAACCCCGCTGCAGAATAGTACTGCTGCTGCTGCTGCTGCTGCTGAACTTGAACATCTTCTCCTATTTGTTCCTTAAAGGGTTCTTGATTGTAAAACATGCTGTCTAAACTACGAACCATTATTCCTGTTTCATGGCTTCCATATTGATGAGTTTCCACAGTTGCAGCACCCAAAAAATCCTCCAGTTTTGGAGAGGAATTTGGTGCTGTGACTCCATTAAACAAAAAAAAGGAAGAAGATAAATCTGTTAATACTAAAACCAAATAGTGCATATTTAGTGCACAGTTTCTTGGAAATGTATGTAAATATGTAAGAAAAAAATGGGGAGAATATGAAGCTAACCTTGAGTATGTGATGTAGAGAGGGGTTTCATGATGCAACGGGAACCGTCTGATTTGAGGGGCATCACTGAGAAAGGTGAGTGAAATCCACCATAACAGACTGCAGCAGGAGCCTCCATTTTCATGTGGGTTGAGAGAGAAAAACCCAAACATTTATCATTATCATCATTCATGGTCTTAATCTTCTTCAGTCTCTCTCACACACACACTTATATATGCGTATCTACCTATTGTTTGATTGATTCATCTCTCTGGTCTGAAAGTAAAAAACGTTCTTTACAAGAAAACTACTCTCCCCTCTTCTTAAAACCGGGCCCTTTAAAGTTTAAACTAAACAAAATGAAAGAATTTGAGCAAGCAATGCTGGGTTAGTGGATAGCATTACATGGGGATCTGTGTTGTAAATGTATATAGCTCATACTTGATCATCGTTCTTTAAAAACACTTTTTTTTTAAATTTATTTTCAATTATACATTTTCACAATAAAATATTTTACTAGAAACCAAAAATATTTTCATACTTTTTAACTAAATATATTCTCCAAAAATTCACTATTACAAACTCATTTTCAACAAAAACAAAAAAAAAGAAGAAGAAGTGTGGCTCAAGTATCGAAATAATTTGGAGAAACAAAACCAGAGAAAAGACTACTCTTTCCCTATTTTTGATTCTCATCAACTACCAGAATATATTTAATAAAAATAATAATTTTAGAGAATATGAAGTTAATAAGTCGGAAAAAATTTTGTTTGATTGATAATGTATGGTTGAAAATGACTTTGAAAAAAATGAAGTTCAAACAAGTGCCAAATTTCCTTTAGCCCCGTTGGACAACCATTAAAACAATTTTTTTCACAGATTCATTTTCAATCAGACGATCTCACAATAAAATATTTTACACGTAAATAAAAAAAGTTCTACTTGTAATCATATATTCTCTAAAAAAAAATCACTATTTCAAAACTCGTTTTCCTAAAACAAATATTCATTTAAATGATAGTCAAAAGGGGCATAGTGGCTTCAACTCAGGCCATGGTCAAGGACCTTGTAGAGTGTCCCTACGTCTTCAGGTGATTCAATAGAATTGTCATGTAGCCATTTGATGTAGATTTTATTTAAATAAAATTTCTGAAAAGTGCTGTTGTTGAAGAATATGTAGTTAAAAAGTAAGAAAAATGTTATAAGTTCATTGGCAAAAACATTTTATTGAGAAAATGTGCGATTAAAAATGAGTTTGAAAAAATTGAATTTTATAGAATCAGTACCAAATGTATATTTGTGTGTGTAGTCCATACAATTGAAAGTGTATTAATGATTTTATACCACCCAAAATCTTACATGTGTGTATATGTCGAGCTTGTTGCCCATGTGAATAGAAGGCTAACTTGGATGCCCTTGCGCTTTGTGTGGGGTGCCTTGAGGGCCACATCGGCTATATATATGTCCTCACCCAAATACAAATATAGGAGTATTAAGTGGAGTGAATCGCTTGTCAACTCATCTCGTCCCATTAACGAAGTCGAGTTGACTCGATTCGTGCTCGAGGCATGTTGTTGGCGCGAGTGAGCCAGTTTGCTTACACGAGAGCTTTCAACTCACCTAGCTCTGTACAAATACAACACCCTAAATCTAAGAATTTGGATATTTTATTTTATTTTTTTATAAAAGTGTGATACTTAGGTTTTTGAAATTGGGGTTAAATTATTTTTCCTTTTTTTCTTTTTGTTTAATATATTATCCTTACGTTCTAGTACAAGTTCCAACAACTAATGAAAACAAATGAATTAAGTTAGTTAGCTTTGATTTGTTGAAGAGAACAAACTAAAACGAAGGATGAAAATGGAGGCTAGTTTGCCTTACTAAGTCCAATCCTGCAAAGTTCTCTAATTATTAAGCACAATTGAATCATTTCTCGAGTTTAGAATTATACTGAATTTTTACAGTATTTTTTAAACTCGTTCAAGTACAACATAGTAAGATAGGTTAAAAAAAAAAAAAACTATCTTACTCTTGATTGTGGCAACTCATCAAATGGGCCTGAAAAAAAAAAAAAAAAAAAAAAAAAAATTCTGGGATACTTTATGGCGACTTAAAATCCCTCAAAAAGTAAAGATTTTTGCTTGGGGAGCTTGTCATGAGATTTTGCCTTTAAAACAGAATCTGATCAGAAGGAAAATTAATATCGACCCTCAATGTTGTTTTTGTGATCACCAAAGGGAAGACCTATGTCATGTTCTACTCCACTACCCCTCTACTCATCGATTCCTAATTAGCCATTTCCCAATGTTACAGAATAAGACCTACCATGGAGGATTCATATAAACAACTACTGATATTATGGCTAAAGGCTCAAAAGACGCTCTTTCTGAATTCTGCTTATTACCTAGAATTTCTGGTTCCGACGAAACAGGATGATTCATGATCAGATTAATCTTCCACCAACACTGGTAATTGCTACTGCTCTAGCCAAAACTTCTGCTACTGAAATGGGCCCTCCTCTCAACTATCTCCCTAGTGCACTTCCCAGCAAATATAGATGGTCTGCACCATCTAATGATGCGCTCAAACTCAATGTAGATGGCGCCCCGTTCTTCGATCTAAATAAGGCCGGACTTGGAATTATTTTACGAGATCACGAGGGAGGAATGGTTTTTGCAGCAAGTGGACCTGAAAACTCAATCTTGGAACCTGAACATATTGAAGCGGCTGCACTCCTACGCGGCTTACAACTATGTCATAACCTTAGCATACCAAACTTCTTGGTGGAAAGTGATTGTCTGTTCCTCGTCAATGAAGTAAACACATTAGGATCAACATCTGCACCAATTCAATCTATGGCTACTAAAATCAGGGATTTAATACAAAGATTCCCTCAATGTAGACTCCAACACTGCAATAGACTGAGCAATCAGGCAGCTGATTTTCTGGCTTGACATGCATGGACTCTTGAAGATATGATACATTGGTGGCACAATATTTCTTTTTTCATTAAAATGTAATTTTCATTAATAGGCACTATTGTACCTTTTCTTAAGGCTTTTTTTCCTTTATGGATGAAATATTTTTTCCATAAAAAAAAGTACACAATAGTAAAATTTTAAAAAATTTCAATATTATTTAGGCATACAATTGGATACTCAATCACATGCCAAAAACTACTCCTTGGTACATTGAACACAACAAAAGAAAAATGGGATAAATTATCTTGTTGACCTCCAAATAACTAGAATCCAAAGTCATTAGATAAAGAACTCATCATGATTTTAAGTTCCACTGTTCTCATACTAAAATTTGCAAAATCTGATTTGGGGTGACAATTTGAAAATCAGACAGAAAGTTGAAATTTCTACTTTACGTGTTTACATATTCAAATCCACCCTTCCAATCACATTTTCATGCGAACACTTGAAGCTAAAATGATTGAATAAACACCAATTCATATATTTTTATGGAAATCTAATCTCATGCACAAACGAATTACAAGCTTAAACAAAAATAATCTTGTAAATCTATTATCTTAGTCTTAATTTTGAAACACTTGAAAGTAAATTCTACATATGAAAATCTTGAACAGAGGCGGACCTAGTACCTGGCCAGCCCCCGCGACTGCCCGTGCTGGGTCCGCCGAGACCTTGAAGTTCCGCTGGGAAGGCAGCAGCAGGTGAGCAAACCCTTTTTTTTTTCCTTTGTGAATCAGGAACCTTCATTTCTTCTTGGGCTTTTTTATTTTTTAAACAATAACACCCAATGGCCAATTTCAATTTGCAAACCATTGCTAATTTACTACAAACAAAACCAAATCCCCAAATTCCAAACCCAAACCGTAGAGGAGCTGTGCTGAGGAGGGAGAGACGACCAAGCGAATCGATTGGCTGCACTACCTCAGGCTCCAGTTCCAGCAAGCTGTCCAGGCTCCAATTCCAGCAGGCTGTCCAGGCTCCAGTTCCAGGCTTCCAAAGTTCCAGTTCCAGTCTAGCCGTCCAGGCTTCCAGTTCTAGCAAGCGGCAGCTTCGGTTCAAACTTCAATCACAGTGAGTGCGTTCTCTCTCTCTCTCGAATCAGATTTTTTTTTTGTTTTTTTTTTGTTCCTTTAGTTAATTTGTTTGATTTATTATTTATATTTTATAAATTATGTTTACTCGACTCAGATTTTTTTTTTGTTTTTTTTTTGTTCCTTTAGTTAATTTGTTTATTTTATTATTTATATTTTATAAATTATGTTTATATAATATGAATTTGTTTGTATTTGTGATTTGTGAATTGAGCTTGTTGCCTCCTACCTGTATACTCTATTTTAACTTGATTTTGAATTTTGTGAATTTGAAAATTAGGGATTTTGTGAATTTGAGAATTTAAGAATATTGGGGATTTTGAAATTTGGGGATTTTGGGAATTTAGGTTTTCAGAAAATTAGGGATAAGTGAAAAAAATTAATAAACGACATCGTTCTTACGATCACTGATGGTCGACGTTGACTAGTCAACGTCCGTCCGGGCTGAGCTTAAATCCTGGATCCGCCACTGATCTTGGACTTTCATTTGATTTCCCTGCCCTTGACTTCTCCACCATCCATTCAATCTCCATCCGTCCACGTCCTTTATCAACTTGAAAATTATCATTATGAGTGAGCATAAAACTCGTAGAATTTCTTAGGCGCAATCCCTTTTGAAAAAATATGCTTATTCACATGTAAAAAAATGAGAAATTTATACTATAAACATTTTCACATAGTTGAATTGTCAATGTAATTATTGATTTCGATGAATCCCCTAGGCTCGTAAAAATCGTTATGATCATAAAATTTAACTTTTCCGGTTCATAATTTGCAGCTACATTTATAAACATAAAATATATATTACCAACTGCCTCAATTCTTGATACGAAAATGAATAATTCTTTACTTTGAATAATCAAATTTGTAATAACAATATCCTTATTTTTCACTATTGCAGATAAGTTAAAACTAACATTTGAAGGAAGGAGAAATGATATTCAGATTTGAGGAGAGAGGGTAAAATAATATTGGTATTTCTCGTCTTGTAACCTCTCTTTTTAAAGAAAAATCTAAATTGGAGTGCTATTTTAATCATAAACCTTGTTAAATTGTACCTTAAAGTGAAAATCTGAAAACTTTTAAATTTTTTTATATCAAATCTGCATGGTAACACAAAT